AAGATCAGATAATATGTGCTTGTCAAAAAGGAGAAACAACATATTACTGCCAGGATTGCAAACAGTACTTGTGCTCTACTTGTATTAAAAATCATAATGATTTTCAACTCTTTGCAAATCACAAGCTACATTTAGTGCAGGAATTGCGATCAATGAGCACAATACAAAAAGCTTCACTACATCCGCCGCAGTGTTTGCTTCACAGCAAACCTTTGGAATTTTACTGTGTAAATTGTACAACTCCAGTCTGTGTTAATTGTACAATTATGAACCACAAGGAATGGGAAGGAAAACACAAACCGATCTGCATTTCAGAAGCATTTCAAACATTTAAAAACACTTCAGCAAAATTAGAAAAAGCTGTCAGTGACTGCAAAAACAAATTAGAAGATGGCCTCAAAGCAGTAACTCAGATTGCTAAAAAATTAGGACAAAATAAAGCTACAACTTTGAGAAATATTGACAATCATGTACAACTGATGATAAAGAAAATCAAAGAAAATGGAGACAAAATTAAAAATGAAGTAGAGATGATATACAGAAAGAAAAAGAAGGTAAATGATGTACAAATGGATGAATTGAAAGCAACAATAAATGATATAAATACAAAACTGACTTTTCTCAATCAATTACTGAAGAGTGATGAAGCAACAGCAATGCAATCAAGTGAAAGAGTAATTACAGCACTAAAGGACAGAATCAATGAATTGCCAAAAACAAAGCCAAATGATAATGGACAAATTAAATTTGTTATCAATGAGAATCAGCTCGATTCATTGCAACAATGCGATATTGGGTACGTATCACAGGGAGCACCAGACCACCTAACACTGATGGGAGTGAAATATGCAACCCAAGGTCAGCCAATTGTTGTCAAAATAATAAAAACAGACAAATGTGAAATAAATGCAAATCAACTGAAGGCAACTTGGACACAGCCTACAGGAGAAACCAACATCACTCAAGTTCAGAAAGATGACAATGGAGATTATTTTGTGACAGGAAAATGCACCAGTACAGGTATTTGTAAATTAGATGTGAGCGCCAGCAGAGAACCAATCAAGCATTCACCAATGATAGTGAAAGTAGAGAAGGAAGGATTAGTAAATACTATTGATACAAACAAACAAAATGTTACAGATGTAGTTAAGTGTGAAGATGATTGCTTGCTGGTTTCATGTCTTACAAATGAAATATTCAAGTACAAGCAATCAGGAGAATATATTGGTAAGGTTATGCTACCGCAGGGTGTAGAGGTTTTCAAAATGTTCAAAATGAAGAGTGGTAACATAGCATTCAGTGACCATAAGAAATGCATCAAAGTATGCAATATGAATGGTCAGGTGGTCAAATCAATTGGTCAGGGAGTATTGGAAGAACCAGTTGATATATATGTAGATGAAACATCAAATATTGTGTATGTAGCAGACTGGGGTAATAATTGTGTGTTTATGATTGACAATTGTAGTAGTCAGATGATAAGGAGGATATGGTCACTAGGCAACGAAGACAGTCTAATGAGTGGAGTTTTTGATGTTACTCTTACTAGTGAAGGACACCTTCTAGTATTGGAATATACAAACAGCAGATTACAATTATTTGATAATGAGGGAAGGTTCATTAAAGTCCTTGTTAAAGCAGGTGATGAGAATGGTAAGGTGAGGAATCCATATGGAGTAGTAGTTGATGAGGATGACAACATCATTATAGCAAGTAAACACAAACTACAGCTTTTTAGTAGTGAAGGAAATTTCATTAAAAGGATTGATAAACCAGAAGATGGAATCAACGATCCATGGGGATTATCCATCATTTCATATCATCCAAGAAGAATAGCAGTAGCAAATGATGACAATACAGTAAAAATATTCAATTACTAATTATTGAAAGTTCACTTTTAAATGTATAGATATACAGTGTATAAATACCATTACACATAAAGTTAAAAACCATTCAATTTTGATAGTGATTGTTTATGTTGCATTTTCCTCTATCTCAATCACACATCCTATTAAATGAGTAACATCATTAAGTCAAACTCATCGCGTCCTCAATGATATTTATGACTTAAACAGAGTTAAAAACATGCAAGCTGCCTTTTTAATTTCATATATTTATAACAATTCAATAACAACCAATTGCATTATTTGAATATGTTGAATTAAAAGAAACTCACAGGAATAAATTCTGTCAAATCTCACATTTTTGTAATTTATGTCTCCACAGTTTAAATGTATTAATAGTGTGGTTATATAAAATATATATTTATCTCAGAAAATATTATTTTGAATTATGTTTACTCAATTTTATTGTGTAGCCTACTGTAATGTTCATGAAAAATGAATGTAAAAAAACATTCATGCTGATGGTAACAATACCGTAGAAATCATATTTTGAAATAACATTTGAGATCACCTTGTAACAGTAGTAGTAAGTCATTATATTGGACACAATGACTAGATTTATTACAAATAAGAATTAGTTAAATTATGTTGATAAAATTTTTACATATCAACTACAAGACGGTATTTTACACTGATTCTAAATTCAACTTGATGATGATCATTGTTCTCTAATCATTCTTTTAATGTGGCTAAGATAAAAAAGGATTTTGATTTTTATAAAACTTTCAAGAAAGTTTAACAATTTTTTCGAGTAAGATTGAAACACCACTCCAAAATCACCCATAATAAATAATTAAAGTGTATAGTTTTTTAAATACTTCTTTGATTATAAATATAGTGAATCACACATTATAATATCTTACAGTTTATAGATTTTAGAAAAAGTATGGATTAAGTAATATGAAATATGATGTAGCAATACATTAGTTTTCTATAATAATTAAAAATATAATTAATTCATTAATAATAAAGAATGAAACAGGCTGTGTAATACATCTCTTGAATGAAATGCTTTTGTAAAAGATGACTTTGTATATTTTCATTTCTTTTACATCCAATCAAAAATATAACAGCTCCAAATCATGTCTCCACAATTTTCCTTGTTATTTGTATCTCTAGCTTCTCTCCATGGCACTACACATGGTCAGGCTCCCCCATCATGTCTCCACAATGTTGCTTGTTACTTGTATCTCAGCCATTCTCTCCTGAAAAAACCTGAGTGTCACTGACTGACCCTTAAGTTGGTAGACATAAAAAAATGTAAGAATAGCAAACTCGTATGTGATCTATTAATTTCTACAATTTTACCTTAAATTTTATATTATATATTATAAACAAAATCAGGAAATAATATAATTCCGTACCCCAATGAGCGACCCTTGTTATACTTTTGTTTCCAAGTCAGTAGAATATGAAAGTTCATCAAAATCAGGGTAGGCACTCATTTTCTTATTGCTGAGGGGGAAGCAAAGGTTAAGTAGGGGGCTCGATAATTACGACAGGGGGTGTATAAATAGTACTCTATTAGGTGGTATATTGACTTCTTAACCAAAATGCTTTTGCTCAGCAAATTCTTAATTGAGGTACCTGTAGGAGGGGAGTGCAAGTTATTTTTTAGAGGGGACACATGCCCCAAGCCATCAGTAGATACAGCACTGCCACCATGACCAATCACGACTGTGCCTCCCTCAGTCTTCTCATAACTATAGCCCTCTACAGTTTGCCTCCCAATGGTTCCATATTTTTATTTTTAGAATTACTTACCATAACAGATGCATTCAGATTTCCATGTTGAAACCTGAAACCCAAATGACTGCTTTGTACGATTCAAAATAATTTCTGCTGCTTTTCTTTCTGAAGAACGGTTACAATCTTATCACTATGACAACCAATACCACTGTGTTGTTAGTCTCACATTCAACAACCTACAATGAAGCAACAGAATATTAAGCCCTATACCTAGAAATTGCAAATTGCAAGTGAAGTGCTGCGAAGTACAACTGCATATAAATGTTCTTTGAACAAAATTATTTATGTGAGTCAAGTGAAAATAATGAAATAATGAATAATAAAAACATAACAAATAATATGAGACACGACCCATTATCTATATTAGAACACTGACGAGCTGACGTAGAAACATAGTAAAAACAAGCGTTGGTACCGTGTATGCCAGTCTACAACAAGCGTCGTCTAAATGTAATAATTAGCACGCTGAAATAGGCTAGAAAATAAGTTTAACTGGGTTCGTAAATAATATTGGCCTCAAAATATTGTGGCTGAGACATGGGCCGATTAAACGTAGAAATAGGAAACCTAAAATATAGTAAAAACGCTGAATAGTAATACTCAAGCGTCGCCACATGTGGACGTTGGTACATGTAGGTTAGTCTACAAACGTCGCATGAAGTAATTGATTTTACCCGGCAGAACGAAAGAAGGAAACTCCGCTTTTCAGTCGTCTTAGGCCCTTGTTTTTTGACAAACAATGACCTTTCAGAGGTCAAATTGCTGTCAAGAATATGAATTGGCTGCTTCCCAGCAAAAAATATAATTAGTTTATCACCCTATCTGGGCAGCAAAAGTGATGAGGGAGGAAGGCTTTTTTTAAATTTTTTATTCTGCTAAAGCCAAATATTACCCTTAGGTTGTTTGCTGGTGCATTGATATTCAAAGTAAAACACGAGTTAGATAATGCAAACAATATCTACTAACTATTTAATAAAATAAATAAAATAAAAAAAATAAAAAAATTTAAATTTTTTTTATTTTTCAGATTTTTTTTTTATAGCACCATAGAAGACACGCACATGGGGTAATAAACTAACAATTTTTTTTATTGGGCCTTATTCAATCATTAACATGTTACCAAATAAACTTAATAAAAATATAAAACAGCATAGTTTTCGTAGACTTAAATTAATTATGCAAAGTGTGGATGAGGCTGCTGACTGGACAGTGTACTGGACTTTCAATAAAAAATTAAAGTATAAAATTGGATAAACAAAGAAAAGATGTAGTACAAAACAAATGAGGTAACAATGCATAAAATGAAATAGGACAACAGGTAATGAGAAGTAATGGATGACAGAAAGTTGATGTGTAAAGAAAACAAAGAAAGAAAAAGGAAGGAGATATAGAGTGAATTAAAACAATGGAATGAAAATCAGTGAGAGATAAGAAGAGGTAAGTTAAGAGAGAAGGTGAAGTGAGTAATGAAATTAATAGGAAAGTCAAGAAGAGATGAACTGTAAAAAAATGAAGATAAAAAAGGAGAATTCAAAAAAGAGGAAGAGAAAGGAAAGAAGTGAATAAGAATATAAAAGAAAAAAAAGAGGAGCTTAGTAAATATAGATCTGACTTTGATCAATACAATTAAATTAGTTTTGAACTTAAACAGTTCAAGGTCTCATGTCTCATTTCAAAAAGTCACAGTTCATTGCACACACAAACATACCAATCTATCACATGACTAAAAATAAACCTGGAAAAACCCACTTCTATGTCAGACTTCATATCTACTGTACCTCTGGTTATAAAGCAAGTATTTTAAGGTAAATATCTCATTCATTTATGTTGTATGTTCAATACAATGGCTCCTATAAACAATTTAATGATTAAGGGAAAAAAACATGACTTTATTTCTCGCAATTGCCTTTTTAATTGCTCCCCTTTTGAAATTTATATATAATTTTCCAGAGTAGGCATACTGTAGAAGCAATCCATGCACTTTACAAGCAAAATTATTAATAATAATTATTTGCGTATCTGTCGATATGATTTTGTCAGATTGAAAATCTATTATAAAATTCATTGTGGTGTGGCTTTTATTTTAATTTGCATTTTTTAACATTCATAGGTTTATTCCTGCAGGCTGTAAAATCAATAATTTTACATGACTTTATTTTATCAGCCACAAGATTTAGAATGTATATTATAATTTGGTGGTCCCCTCCCTATATCTTATATATACAAGTATTTTTAAAATGTTTATTGTTAAAAATACTCCAGAATTCCTATAGTATTTAACACTAAGAATAGAAACAAGAGTGCATAACAGTTCATAGAAAAAAAAACATTAAAAACTTGTGGCTGACAAGAGATATAAGTGACCGGCTCTGAAAAAACCAGCCGTTTGTATGAAAAATTAAAAATTGATTCTTCATTTTTTTAGAATTCCTCTTTAATACCATGTCTATTTGATGGAAATTGGTTGAATATACATAAAGTTATGAGTATTTAATTCACTGAATCCGTTATGTAGGTTTTGAAAATAGAGCTTCCAAAGATTCCAAAATCAATAACTTATTGTAAGATTTGTATTTTTAAAATAATTTCAATATACTTTTTAGTTTGATTAAGTGATAAATGTAATATAAAATTCTGAATCTCAAATATTATGGAGGAAATATTAGAAACTTGTGAATGAAATAACATAGAAAATAATGAATTTAGTTTGTCATACTTGTATAATTCAAATGCATAAGAGTTTTCTGCAAAAAAATATATATCTAGACCAAAATATTAGTGGATACAGCTAAAATTAAAATGGTACCAACAATAAATGGGTCCCATCCATTAACAGATAGGTAAAAGCAGCTCCTTATTGCTAAGATTTTTTTAAATTAAATATATTTATATAAAAAACCATATTTAAATAATAATCCACCAGCCACCACCAACCCTCACCAAGGGCCACTGACACCACTGCTACAGACACCACACTACTGCCACCACCAATACCACCAGCGGTGTTTTGGCCTGTTACCATTAAAATTAAATAATTATTTTGCATCTTCATCCTTGTACAATATTTTTTCATGCAAAAAAATTAATTAATTCACAGGATATTTCAAGATGGCTACTAGTGATCTGAATCAGTTTCTGGAAAATGTTAATGAGAAGGTCCTAGAGTGTACCATCTGCTTTAAGAGACTTCAAAATCCTAAATCCCTCAACTGCCTTCATAGTTTCTGTTTGGCATGTCTAGAAGACTGGGTTAAAACTAAGGGAAAGCTGATTTGTCCAACTTGCTCAAAATCATATCCCATTCCAGAGGGCGGACTTCAGAAGCTTCCACCAAATACATTTATAAATAACTTATTAGAAACTATTGAACAATTTTCTGGAAAAGATCAGATAAAATGTGCTTGTAAAAAAAGAGAATCAGCAATATATTACTGCCAGGATTGCAGACAGTACTTGTGTTTGACTGGTAGTGAATATCATAATGAATTTCGGCTCTTTGCAAACCACAAGTTACATTCAATGGAAGATGTGCGATCAATGAGCCCTTCACAGATGACGTTACTTCATCCACCACAGTGTTTGCAGCATAACAAACCCTTAGAGTTTTATTGCACAGAGTGTAAAACACCAATATGCATGCATTGCACAATTACTGACCACAATGCATGGGAAGGAAATCACAAACCAATCAGCATTTCTAAAGCATTTCAGACATTTAAAGAAACTTCCGAAGCATTACAGAAATCTGCCTATGACTAAATAAAGAAATTGCAAGATGGCCTCCAAGCAGTTGTTCGGAATGCTACAAAATTAGGGCAAAGTAAAGATACTACTCTGAGAGATATTGACAATCATGTACAAGTAATGATAAGGAAAATCAAAGAGAATGGTGACAAAATTAAAAATGAAGTAGAGACAATATACAAAACGAAAACGAAGGTAAACGATGTGCAAATGGATGATTTGAAAACAACAATATCTGATATAAATACAAAACTGAGTTTTCTAAATCAGCTTTTGAAGAGTGATGAAGCAACAGCAATGCAGTCAAGTGAAAGAGTAATTACAGCACTGAAGGACAGAATCAATGAATTGCCAAAAACAAAGCCAGATGATAATGGACAAATTAAATTTGTTATCAATGAGAATCAGCTCGATTCATTGCAACAATGTGATATTGGGTATGTATCACAGGGAGCAGCAGATTGCCTAACACTGAAGGGAGGGGAATCTGTGACCCAAGGTCAGACAATTGTTGTCAAAATAATAAAAACAGATGAATGTGAAATAAATGCAAATCAACTGAAGGCAACTTGGACACAGCCTACAGGAGAAATCAATGTCACTCAAGTTCAGGAAGATGACAATGGAGATTATGTTGTGATAGGAAAATGCACCAGTACAGGTGCTTGTAAATTAGATGTGAGTGCCAACAGCGAACCAATCAAGCAGTCACCAGTGATAGTGAAAGTAGAGAAGGAAGGATTAATAAATACTATTGATACAAACAAACAAAATGCTGATGTAGTTAAGTATGAAGATGATTGCTTACTGGTTTCATGTTGGACAAATGAAATATTGAAGTACAAGCAATCGGGAGAATATATTGGTAAGGTTATGCTACCGCAGGGTGTAAAGGTTTCCACAATGTTTAAGATGAGGAGTGGTAACATAGCATTCAGTGACGATCTGAAGAAATGCATCAAAGTATGCAATATGAATGGTCAGGTGGTCAAATCAATTGGTCAGGGAGTACTGAAGGATCCAGCTGGTATATACGTAGATGAAACATCAAATATTGTGTATGTAGCAGACTGGGGTGATTATTGTGTGTTAATGTTTGACAATTGTAGTAGTCAGATGATAAGGAGGATATGGTCACTAGGCAAAGAAGGCAGTCTAATGAGTGGAGTTTTTGATGTTACTCTTACTAGTGAAGGACACCTTCTAGTATTGGAATATACAAACAGCAGATTACAATTATTTGATAATGAGGGAAGGTTCATTAAAGTCCTTGTTGAAGCAGGTAATGAGAATGGTAAGGTGAGGAATCCAGGTGGAGTAGTAATTGATGAGGATGACAACATCATTATAGCAAGTAAAAACAAACTACAGCTGTTCAGTAGTGATGGATCTTTCATGAAAAGAATTGATAAACCAGAAGATAAAATCAAAAGTCCATGGGGATTATCTGTAATTTCACATCATCCAAGGAGACTTGCAGTAGCAAATTGTGGTAACAAAACTGTAAAAATATTCAATTATTGAATACAGCCTACTATTGCTGTGCTGTTTGCATCAATGTACATATTCTATTTACAATAATACACTATGAAATTAACTACATATCATTATTTCATAAAATTCATATAGATTTGAAGTTGTGGTGACCAAAACGTATGAACTATTCAACTTTATATTGATACTACAGTCGCAATCACTTGTAATGTTTTATTTTCATTTATTTTGAATCACATATTATATAATGAATACCAACAAACATTTATTATTATTTAAAATTTAAATTAGTAACATGCATTGAGTCAGACCCATTGTATCCATGTATGATTTATGAGAATGCTACACAATGCACAAGCTGCAAATTAAATTTAAGTTTAACTCATATCCTACAATTGCAAATATTTGAATCAATTCACGTCTAGCTGAATATTCGGTGAAGATACTTTCAAGAACAATTCTGTTAAATCTCACAGTTTTATTACAATTGAGAATTAGTTTCATTATTTTGATCAAAAAGTTTTTTATCTGTCGAAGATGGTATGATAGGTTGTGTTTACGAACTTTCAACAAAACCGGATAAGTAAAAAATGACATAATGCCAAGAGGATATGTCATTAGATCGCTCGTTTACGAAGCCCAAGTTATTCGGATACGGACAGGTATAGGCCTTTCATGTAAACAAAGCAAACACTTCACCGCTTAGCCTTCCTCAGCCCAACAAGGCAATTCAACAACGAATTACCTCGCCTTGCCTACGCTTGAACTCCGACCAATTCTAAAAAAACCCAGGCGTTAGAATCTAGAGCCTAGCCAACTGGCAAAACTACAAAAAAAAAAAAAAAAAAAAAAGGAAAAAAAAATAGCCTACGGACTTACTACTACTGTACTACTAGTTCCACTTGTGTTCAGAACCGACAACGACGTGTCAACAGTGTGTGGTGGACAAGAAATGGGTCTATCGCCAAAAATTTCGTTCATCAACTCAAAATACAGCCATTCTGTTGGGGGCGGGGGGTTTCCTGACTTCCCGTTAGAGTCCTTTTCCTGGGTGTATTTTTTTGCGCAGGTTCTTGCATTTAGTATTCTATCTGTGCGTGTGTAAAGTTATAACCCATTTCCCGCATCTTCTGTGCAATTTCTTTATAAACGGCGTTGTTCCGTCGGGTTCCATCAAAACCATCTTGTATGAATGTCGTTGTTCCCCATATGCTAATTAACGTTTGGGTTGCTTCGTCAATCCACCCACTCTGTTCAGCTGCAGCTATTGTATACAGGGGTATATCGTTGTAAAAATAATCTTAATATTTCGGCTTAAAAATTGGATAATATAATTTATTAAGTGAGGACTACTCTAACGATGTCACTGGACGAAGGCATGGATGAAAAAAAATTGCAGACTCAAGTGCTTAATCTGAATAGATTTCTCATAAAAGTAAGGTCAGTTGACACCATGCTTTGGGCTATTGCGCCCGAGGCAGCCTCCAACCCTCCAAACTTATCCGGAAAGGATAAGCCCGGAAAGTCTAGATGTTTTAGTAATTAAAACTAGTTGAGGAATGATTAATTATCACCTCAGGCTTGATTATCCGGTTTTCGAAAGTTCGTAAACGGGCCCTTACACTGGGTTCTAAATCAAACTCGATAATGATCATTGTTCTGTAACATTTTTTTATATGTTGCCTAGAATAGATAAAGGATTTTTGTTTTATAACTTTATTTGAAATAAAAATTAAATATATTTAAAGAAGTTGCAAATCATACAGTAGTGACAAGACAGTAAAAATATTCAATTATTGAATATTGATAGTCCACTGGCCTGCTTGTGTGGTACTAAACATAAAATTTAAATTCATAGGTGCAAAGTGTATGAATACCTACATATCTATTACATCATATCAGCCACATAGGTTGTAGTTGTGGGACCAAACTGTATAAACTCAACTTTTATATTGAGAGTCTTCTGCCCTCACTTGTTTATATTGCATTTTCATCCAATCTGAATCACACACAATATATGAATACCAACGAGCATTTATATTATTTAATATTAAATGAGTACATGCATTGAGTCAGACTCATTGCATCTTCAATGTACACATACTGCCTTTTAATTTCATTTTTATTATATCAATTCAATATCAAACAACTGTATTATTTGAATATGTTGAATCAACTTGTGTCAGTCTAATAATTGAGAATAATTCTGTCAACTCTCACATTTGTAAATTTCCTATCTTTGATGATTACTGTTCTGTAAAATTTTTCTATATTAAATATGTTGCATAAAATAGAAAAATAACTAAATATTTTCATAATATTTTTTAATTATAACTTTCATATTATAATAAAAATGAATTTTAAAAAATTGAAATAACAGTCTTATGTCACTAACAATAAATAATCTAGGTATCTATTTTTTCAAATACTTTTTAAATTGTAAATATTTGAATACATTAAATTAAAGGTAATATTAAATACTGTATATAGTAGGGATACACAAGTTGTCCATAATGAATTTAAAATATTCCTGATGATGACATAATTAATGTCGAAATATTGAATCCCAACACGATGGCGTGTATTTCAATACTTGGAGTATGTATTATACTTTATTATTGTTCTTATTACTAATTATCAATTCCTGAATGGATAACTAGTAATTACATAACATTTCCAAGACTGGGAAGTAGAAAAAAACTGAGCAAAGTAAACAATATAAATAAATCCCTAACAAAAATACTGTACAAACTCTATAAGAGAAAATACTAAAAATCATTTAAAAAAAAAACTTAAATTAATCAATTAATTCATAAAAACAAAATTAAGCAAATGATTTGATACAGTATCAGTAAATACAAAAATACAAGGCAAACAGTGACAGGGTATGCAAGTGCAAGATACTAAGGAAGACCCAGGAAAGGTAATGAAGAAACCTTATTTCCATTGGGTTCCTTACATAAAAATTGAGAATGCAAAACACAGAATTAAAAAATCTGCCAGATAAATTGAGAGTTTCGTTCAAAAACAATGATCTTACAAACAGTGATAACGAAATTGCTAACCAACTAAACAATCACTTTTCTTCAATTGGTAATTCACTTGTGGCCAAATTCCCAAGTTATTCTAGTACTATAAACCCTAGACTTTAGTAACTCATGATATTTTAAAATTTGATATAATACCAGAATATGGTTTTGATGAAATATGCATACAGTACTTTCTAGTAATAAGGCCTGTGGTGTTGATGGTATAAATTGCTTTTAAAATTGGCTACTCCAAATATTTGTTAAGCACTTGCTTTCTGTAAATTTTCTTTGCTCACCTCATCTTCTCCATCTGAATGGAAAATTTCAAAGGTAAGCTATCTGTAACATGACAGAGAAGATGTTAATAATTTCCATCTAATTTCTGTTTTACCTGTAGTATCCAAAGCTTGACCTGTCCGTTGGGGGGGCCTTAAGCCCACTGCCCCCCGCTGGTGCCGCCACTGGCTCTGCCCTATCTCTGGCCAAATAGTCTAATACAATAGTATATGCACCTTCTGTTGTTTATGTGAAGGAAGTATGAATGTTTAAAAAATCAACACATGAGGTTACACATATTTATTTTAAATTTTTAAAATAACTTAAATTGTAGGATCTGGGAGACTCTCATTAAGACCATGAGTCTCATGCATGAATGCCACCAGGAAATTTAAGCAGTTTATAATTTAAAAATAAAAGTACAGTATTTAAAAGTTTTTCTTCTACATATAAATTATAAAAACTCATTTTTCCTTTATTGTTTACTTAGTGTAAATAAATTTTAAAAGAAAACTTGTTGATATAAATTATATGTGAAGTAGTGTGTATTTTTTGTGTTTTATAAGACCTTTGCATTTATAATTTTGAATCAATGTATTTTGCTATTCTTTAATATAAATTGCCTTTAAATTAAGATAATATAGTTTCAAGCACAGGTTAGAATATACAATCCATGCCCTATAGTCAACAGTGTGCAAAACCCTACTATTTTGTGGAAGGCTGTTTCCACTTGAACCCTGTACAATATTGTACATTTTCGTAATCCTCTAAGGGAAGTATCCTTTTTACCTAAACGTGATAGATAACCGAAATCAAGATCAGTGGCAGCTCTAGGATATATTTTCTGGGGGCTAAGCTGTCCGACGGGGGACTTGAACCGTAGGCCCGTGCTGAGGGAAGGGGTTGAAAGGCGTTCCCCTTCCCAAATGAGATTTGGCTTGAAATGGCATTCTCAGACTGTTACAGACAGGTGTTGGCTTGGTGTGGGCCTATTTTTTATATTTCTTTTGGGTCAGACTGCCTGACGAGCTCTGTCCAACAGGGTGGGGGGGCTTGACCTGTCCAGTGGGGGACTTAATCCCCCTTGTTCCCCTGCGGGCACCGCCACTGACCAAGATAAGGAATAGAGAGTGACTGGATGTGCTAACCAGGGCTAGGAACCAATAAGAATAAAATTGACTCATGATTAATAATGATCATAAACCAATAGAATTTATTTGTCATTTAATGAAAAGGTAGACCAAGCTGGTTCATATGCATCTTCTGTTTTTAGGGGTACATTTTACCACCGAAAAGTCCTAAAATGAAGAGGTTGCAAGATGCTAATTTAATCCTATTCTACTACTTTATTTCAGGCTGATGAAGCCTACTGTACACCTATCAACCACTGACAATCACCTGCAGGGATCCCGGTGCTTCCTAAACTACTATAAAACAATTTGTTTAGTGACAGATTTAAATATTATCGCCTCATGAACTGGCCCCATACCTGGTAACATCAGTCAAAATAAACCCAGGAAAAACCAAACACTAGGTGGTGCAATACAAATCAAATCAATTTATTGATTAGTAATAAATATCATTGCCTAAATTGTAACTATGAATAGCCCTATGCCAGTTCACAGATCAGTAAAAATACACCTGGGAAAAACCAAAGAATAAACTAAACGTCACAGCGCGAACTACTGATGAAATCTGAAATATACATAGAGTATTTGGAAATATTTGAAGATCAACATATTAATGACTATATCTGTGTGTAAGTATAGTTTAGTTACAAGAGCAAACTGGAGTATTTTGACTTGAATTGAGATTCACAGATTGACTGTTCGTCTTCAAACATGCACTATGGTACTGTGTATAGATAAATATGTCTAAGCATGGCTCAACTACAGTAGGAGCAGTGAAATGGAGGGATTGGGGTAAGGAAGATTTTGCATTTATAAGCAAGTCTCCATTGACAACAAATTTCAGCAGCGATAATGACATTACTGTAAAATCTGAATAGAAGCATAGAAACTCTTCTTTTATGACCATCGACTAGATGTGCTTTATTTCGAGATAGACCTCTTTTTGGGATGAGCTTCTCTTGGGATTATTTTTGCAAACTACAGAGGGGCTTCTTTTCAAAATAAATGCTGTAATTGTTACAATATTTTTATAAAAGCGTTTACTGTAAATTTTAATTACACTTTGGAATTTGATGTTATATTAGGTTCACTAGCATGGAAACGACT